GACTTCAAAAATATTCAATAAGACTAAACGAAATTTTTGGATGAATTTAAAATTGGTTACAAAATTATTGCTCTAAAATTTGAGAAAAAAATCATTAAAATTGTGCAAGATTTAATAGTTCAACTATACTAGCGTGAGCGGAAAAAATTTAATGATTTTTCTTTCCTAACCTGTTATGAATCGTGTCTGGCAACGTATAAGAAAAGTCAGATTTGAATATCTTAAAAACTAAATAAGTTTTAAGGAATTTTCTAAATAGTTTTTTTTTCTTAATTAAAGAAAGATAAAAATAATTAGGGATTTTTCACAAATATTATTTTGTACTATTAAAGAAGACTTATTAACGAATGATAATATCCTTCTAATGATGATCCGGACAACAAAGTGTGGTATTATTAGAAAATAAAATATGCGAAAGAAAAAAAAAAAACTTTTATGGTGAATGATCCCCAACAATGCCGGTGTCATTTTTGATAAATCTTGTTTAATAGTACAAAATGATATTCGTGGAATACACCTTATTATTTTGAACTTTCTTTTGTAATGGTAAAAAAAAAAAAAAAAAAAAACTAAANGAGTAAGACTCTGTCTCAAAAAAAAAAAAAAAAAAAAACTTTTTAGAAAATTGCTTGAAATTTTCTAAATTTTTAACATATTCAAATCAGACTTTTATAAGTTGACAAATAGGATTCACTATAAAATTAAAGATTTTTTTTTTTTTTTTTTTTTTTTTTTTTTTTTTTTTTTTTTTTTTTTTTGATTTTTTTCCGCGCATGCGCAGTATAGAAGAAGTACTTTAATTACTCATGCGCAGTTTTTAACGATTTTTTCTCAAATTTTAAAGCAATAATTTTGTAATCAATTTTAAATTGATCCAAAAGTTTTGGTTAATTTTATTGATTTTTTTTAGAGTTATAGCGAAAATAATGAAAGACAAAATTATTCGTTTTTTATGAAAAATGTCTTTATCTCCATAAATGTTTGAGCCAGGTTTCCAAAACTTTGTGCAATTATTGAATATAAAAACCAAAATAACAGTTATAAGCTACAAATTCATTATTACATTTTTTGGCACAGCCTGTATGCTTAATAAAAATCATTTTATGTGTTGTGAACAAATTTTTCAAATTATGTTAGGATAATTTTATATTTGCATTTATAAAATATTTGATTAAAACAACCAATATTTTTAAGATCGAAAAAAATTTTCATTCGAGCAGCATTCTTTTTCTTAACAGCCATTAGTTTTAGTTGCTTATCAACAAATGATTTTTGTACTTAATCATGCATTAAATTATTCTTTGATATTTTTTTTATTTATTATTTTGCTTGAAACCTTCTCTCATATAAGGCCATTATCATTTTATTCTTCTTAATTACCTTAAGATAGTAGTTGACTCCGTTCCTGAAATAAATCCTTCTCCAGTTAACCTCCAACCATTTTTTTATTTATTTTTTTTATTTTTCTAAATGCGCAAGGTGCTATGAAACCAAAGCTTCCTGAGTGAAATTTAGTCCTTAATAATGATTACTAGATGGCAGCACTACACTCGAATTGCACCTTTCATTGAGAAAATAGAGAAATGTTCTTAGTTTTACACAGTGCAGGGCTCGAAAAACCACCCGTCTAATACTAGGTTACTATTAGCAACCTAATATTTCTTTTATTACTGTATATTGTAATTCTAGTAATTGTAATCCTAGTAACTACTAATTCATTGTGCAATTTATTTAAATGCTTGTAATAAATAAGAGAAAATTATATTTTTATTTATTTAGAAGCGACGGGTTAGTTTCAAAGGAGGACGGGTACATTGTTGGACAAGCCGTCCTCGGGGACGGGTAAAATTTTTGAGTTTTTTCGAGCCCTGACACAGTGAATATTTTATGATATTAACAACTTAAAAAAAAAAATTTTTTTTCTTTCTGTCTACTACTTTTATTAGGGACAAACTGTTTAGTTTCTACTTAACAACTTTTATTAAAAAAAACCAAAGCCCTTTTTATTTTAAGAATATTAAAATTAGAAATTTCATTAAATATGTATGTATTTTTATAATTATCTAGATGTAAGTTGTTCGAAGTAACTGATATAATTTTTTGTTCCGATTATTTTAAAAAGTTAGTAATTTCAATGTTTTTTTTTAGTTTAGTTTAAACACATTAAAAATCTATACTAAAATACATATATACATATAATCATATATAAGTATTCAGCTCTGAGCTGAAATTATAATAAGCCTCACATTTTTTATCTTAGGAGAAAAAAAGGAGAAAAATTTAAAAATTTGAATCAGAAAAAAGAGACTTAGTTCTGAAAAGAACTGCTTTTGAAGAAACTGAAATAAATAACGACGAAAAAATTTAAACAGAACAAAATAAAAAGCAATGGCTGTGAGCACAGGTGGTGCTCGGGATTAACTTTATTTGCAAGACTACTGCAGGACCTGATTATCGCCTAGGCCCAATAGGCATGGGCCTAAGGCCCTCAACTTCGGGCCTCAAAAATTAGTAAAAAGTCCTCAACATTACTATTTCTTTTAAATACTGAAAAAAAAGTTTTTCTCAAAAAAATACATTTCTTTGTTTCAAATTTTCTTTATTGTATCCTGATACTACCAAACACACGTAAACATTTCACTAATCAAATTCGAAAGTAAGGTGGGCTAGCTTTGTGCTCGTTTAACTAATGAATAATTACATCTTAATAACACAGCAAAATGTGTTAAATGTGTTACATCTAAATAATACAAGACACGAATGAAATAAAAATAAAAATATGACCACCGAAGCCGACGTCTTCAGGGGGTACCGGCCTCGGTAGCCATTAAAAGCAAAACCATTTCTAATTGAGGGAGAAGCAAATGCTTAAAATATCTCCCTCAGTACCCCGATGGTTTTGTAAAGAGGTCCAGGAAAAACAAGATACATTCAAAATAATTATCAAATTAAGAAAAGAAAATCAATCAAATTCATCAGAAAAATTAAAACTCACTAAGTCACAGGTCAAGCATCAACTTCAAAAGCAAGTAGAGGAAAAGAAAACACTAAAAACTGAAAAAACGTCGCCCCCTATTATAATGCGCAGAAGAAGTTTAAAATGAAATGGAAAAGGTCAGGAGAAAGATCTTTACATTTATTTAGATTATTACATCTAAATAAATGATTATTCAAATGTGTTTTTAATTTTCTATGAGTAGAAATAATTTTGACTTTTGGATACTTTTTACGTGCTGAAATATATTTTTTAATAAAAATTATAATTAATAACCTTCATATTTCAGCACACGTGCTGAACCCATCGTTAAATCTAATGAAAGGTGGGCTAGTTTTGCGTTGGTTTTAAAAAAATTATTACAGCTAAATAAAAAATTATTACAGCTTACAATAAAAAATAATTCAGCTAATCAAAGACTTTAAGCAAAAATCGCTAAAATCAATTGTTTGTGGTCACCAAACTATTTTTATTTTGATATAATATTGTTTTGTTGTTTTATATTTTGATTTAATATATATAGATGGGTAAACTTTATCTTAGAAAAATAATGTTCAGTTGTCTGCTTTTAAAATTTCTTAGAATGTTTTTATTTTATTTTATAACAGTGGTTGAACAGTCGACCCATTTTTTGGGCTTACGACTTCTATAGTTCAACTCCGTAGCCTTGCAATTTTGAACCCAATCCAGAAGACAAGGGAACTCCTGGATCAAATATTGGGAGAAATTTGCCTTCGTGGAGGACTTATTGTTGAAACTAACCCGTTAACATTGGACATGAATTTGAAACTAACATTGTTGAAACTAAAAATGTTGTACGTAAGTAATAATAATGTTTCTAGCGTTAATAGAAAAAAAATTTCAGTTAAATACAAGTATCCAGTTATGATGGAAAAACTTCAAATTAGTATAAAAAATATTAAAAATAAATTTTAAGCATACATTTTAAATCACTTTTATCCAGAATTACAATAATAAAAACATATAATTGTTATTAAACATGTAATTATGTTATTCTTTATCCAAATTTAACTTCATTATGCGATTTGACAATTTTAATGCTCTTATATATTAAAATCTCGAATTTCCACTTACCTTTCCCACAGTATAATACACTGAAAAATGTTCATGTCTGGGGATTTTGATGGCCAACGGAAGTGTCTAAATTCAGAAGAGTGCTCTTGGATCCACTCCCAGACATGAACATTATTGAACATATTTGGGATACCTTGCAACGTGATGTTCAGAAGATATCCCCCCCCCTTTTACTCCCACTGGTTTATGGACAGCCCTGCAGGATTCATGGTGTCAATTATCTCCAGCACTACTTCACACATTGATCGAATTCATGCCACTTCGTGTTGCAGCACTTCTGCTTGCTAGCGGGGCACTACACGATATTAGGCAGGTATACCTTCAGTGTAAATTATATCTGTATAAATTTTATAATTTTTCTTCCACATTAGTAACTCTCTATTTTTATCAACAAAAAAAAAATTTCAAATTTTTAACTTATAAAAAATATTTTTAAACATTGTTACTGAAAGTGTGTAGGAAAAAATAGCCTACAAGTTTTACAAAAGTTTTTAAGTTAAGTTTTTAAGTTAGGTGAGTTTAAGTTTTTACAAAAATTTTCCACATGGGATTGTTGAAATCAATGGTTATTGAACTGAAATGATCTCACTTTTGCTATTCTTGAACCACATCTAGAACATAAAAATAGCTTTCTCTAAGGTGTAAAATCACTTAAGATTTCTTTCAAAGACCCAAAAGTTAAAACAGTGTAAAATAAAAAATTCAAGATTTAGAAAATTGGTCTTTATTTTAACAGTAAAAAAAGTTCCACCAACGTTTATGTACAGGGAATAACCACAATAATGAACTGGAGTTAAATTGATGCAATTGTTCTAATTTACATTTACAAAATACAAGTGTTAAAATTTCCTGAGTTGTTATTGAACTAGAATGATCCCACTTTTGCTATTCTTGAACCAGATCTAGAACATTAATACAGCTTTCTCCAAGGTGTTAAATCACTTAAGATTTCTTTCAAAGAACCTAAAAATTAAAAGAAATAAGTTTTATACTGAAATATGCCTACATTTTCCTAACATATTTCCTAAAATTTTAAAAATCAAATTATTATCTCCTTTAATATTTTTTCAGTAAATAAAAATCATTAATATAATCTGTAATCTTTTTATGCCACAACCTTGAATTGAATGCAGAATAAACTTTAAAGATTCCCTCTATATACCACATTAGAATAGAATTCGAGAACCGTTTATATGATTGCTGATGTTTTGATATCATTAAAATTCTTTAAGTTCTTTATTACTTCTCACGGTTTCTGTTCCGCCAACACATTTGATCCACTTTCCCTATTTCTTAAAAATATTTCAGAACATTTTAAACTTGTTAACACATTATATGGGTGATATGCCCTTGAATTGATTTTTGAAGACGCTTAACTTTTAGAGAAAGCAGTAAAATCCCTTTCCCTTTTTGTTTGTATTTCAAACGAAAAACTTTAACATAACTAACGGACTTTATCAGTAGCAATTAAGCTTAAGAACGCATGTGGTAATGCATGTTTAATATTACTTTCATAATAAATGCAGATATAATTTTATGCTTAAATTTAGCTTTTTTTAGTTGAAAATGTATGTAGCATGATAGTGTAACACTGGATAATGTTTTGCTCTATTCTTGCTTTCCATGCAGATTTCTTTTATGGTTAATATTTGTAAAATAGATACTTTTTTGCAAGATAAAGGTATATTAATTGCTATTTTAATTATCTCTAGTGTTTATGAATTTAAAACCTGTTTTGTCTCTTTTAAGTATTTCAAAAGGTGATTTTCTATTTAACGAATTTTCTATCTAGCGAACTTATTATCGGGATTTAGCGACTTTGTTAAATAGAGGTCCGACTGTATATATTTATTCTACCTAGAAGAAATTTATACAGATTTACCGGTGAATTGTTGGTTCGGACTACTAAAAATTGACTAGGATCACCGTAAATAATCGTTAGTAGTCCGTTGAGGGATAGTATTCTGTTTTGGTTATGTGATTTTCAGTTTCCTTTTTTGGTCAATGTTTTAGTCACAAAATAGCATAGTTCATCGTAGTTGTGATCATTACAAAGCGTCAACTTAGTAATTTTTCATTTAAGTACACTAAAATTAACTTTTTGAAAATAATACTGTATTAGAGACATGTAAGCAGACCAGTAAAAAAGTGTACGAACTAGTAATATCTTTTAGTTCTTGGTCCTTAGCACCTAGGAACTAAATTTTCTTAATTTCTACCCCTGAATTTACAACTTCCGAGGCGGTTTTTTTATATGGTTTTTCTTGTGATATTTCAACACTGGAAGAAGCTTTTGCAACATTAAAATAATAATTAGTTGATTATAAAATTTTAAGTGATACAAAATTAAAAGACTTATATTTCGTATCTGAAATTTGCTCTTTGAATTTGCTCTTTGAATTAGTACCTCACAATGAATGAATGTATTTAACTTATTATTTAGTTATTTTGGGGGGATACACATTAAAAGCTGGATTCAACCATTTATTTATTGCCCTTTCAATTGTTTTAAAATAAGATTTTTCAATCAAGTTTGAAATGGTAGTAAAATTTAACAAGATATAGCTATTAACAGAGTGAAACACGTTAACCACCATTGAAAGTTGACCTCCATTATCAAGAATCAAATTTATCCCATTTAAATGAGACAAAAAAAAAAGAGAGAGAAAGAAAATCTTTGCAATCTGGCCACCTGTTTATCTTGTATGTTGATTTTGTTGTATTTTTAAATAACGTTTAATATCTTTTAAAATATTTATTTATGTATCCATTGTAAAACTCAAATGATTATTTACGGTATGATGGTATATATATTTTAAAGCTAAAGCTTTGCCATAAATATAAGGCCATTAAACTGTGGATTGTTGCTCCTTAAATTTTATTTGGCGAAAAAGCTCCTAAAAACAAAGGAATTTGGAATACGATAACGTAGGACACAGGTCAACCAAGTGCTAAATTTAGACAGCAGCAATTTCGAGCGATATTATGATGTGAGCTGCGATGACTCTAGGGATAGAGCGTTCGTCTTTCAATGAGGTGAACTGGGTTCAAATCCCAGCAATGACTAGTTGATACGAATCAGTATCCGGCTTGCACCGACCACAGTGTTGACGTGAAATATCCTCGGTAGTAGACGGATCATGGGTTAGAGTCCCTTTTCCGTCAGGATAGTGGGAGGTTTTCGTGGTTTTCCTCTCCACTTAACGCAAATTCGGCTTGGTTCCATCAAAAAGTCCTCTACGAAGGCAAATTACTTCCGATACTTGATCCAAGAGTTCCTTTGTCTTCTGGATTTGGTTCAAAATTACAAGGCTATGGCGATAAACATTAGTAGTCTTAAGCCCTAAATTGGGCCGACTGTTCAACGACGGTTTTAAAATAAAAATAAAATATTATGGCGCAACGTGCCTCAAGATTTCTAACAGTGCATGAGTGCATCTAGTATAATGATTGATTTAAAAGGGAAAAAAGAAATAAAAAGCTTAGAATGCATTAAACCGTTTAATATTAATTGCTTCCATAAACAAAAGGAACATCATGTTTTACAGAATCAGACTTAGAGATTTACATAAATATAATAGTCGATTTTAGTCTTTAAATATGTTTTTATCTTACCCTACCTTAAAGCAATGAATCGTTGAACTCAAACCGTTTACATAAACAATACTTAGCTTTTTTTTCTTAATAANGGGGCCTCCCTGGCCGAGCGGTATCGCCGGTCCAAACGCTCTGTTAAGCGTGGAGGTAGCGGGTTCGAATCCCGCCGTAACCCTGGATGTATTCTTTGTGATGTCTTTCTCTGAATTGTTCTATCTGTATTTTCTACTTGACAATGACTTATAAGCCTATATTGAGCACACAAGTCAGCAAATGTATGTAATTTCAATAAAACCAATAAACCAATGTACTTATAGCATGCATAAGTACAATACGTACATGGACCGAGGAGGACGACAACCCCAAGGGGTCGCCCCCAACAAATATGTAGTATGATTAAGACTAGTGTGGTTATTCAACCAGGACGCCTGGGTCACCACCGTAACAGAGCTCACGACATAACTTTCCCTCATTGATTATTTTTCTATTGTATATATCTATTTTATTTTCATCTTATTTTTATTCAATTTGGGTTGATTATCGTGCGTTGTAAAGACATTATATATATATTATATTATATTTAACCCAGACCTCCCTTAATAATATCGATCATCATAATCTTCATGATTATTTTTTTTTAATATTGTTTATGATTATATTGTCATTTAATTATACTCCATGCCACTCAACATTTCGTGATTGTCCATGTCACACGAACCCCCTCTCGATTTTTTTGGTGCTGAGCACCCCCTCTTCCTCCCATCTCCGTTTCTCTTCACTATTCCTCATCATCGACTTATTACTACAGATGAATCGGTTAATGCCGCTTCGCGGCAGCGCACCGAGATTTATGTGATTTTTACCATTCTACCATTCTTGTACTTATGGCATGCTATACCACTTAAAAAGTAAGCAAAAGTAGTAAAATATTTGCAAAATTTACATTGTAGTTATTTACCGCTTTTTAATTATTTCGGCGTGTCCGGAGCAGTTGGCATCTCTAAATTTCGTACCCTTGACAATTTGGAACCAACCTAAAAGGTATGTGAACTCCGGGATCAAGAATTGGGACAAAGAAGCATTCGTGAAAGATTTTTTAGTGTTAACGCATTATCGTTACATGCAGAGGAAAACTTTCCATGTTTAGCCCGATGTCAAGAGGGTTCAAACCCGTAAGCCGTCTACCACGGATGATATTTTAAGTCAACACTGTGATCGGTGTGAATCGGGAGCAAAATTCGCATTAACTAGTCACCGCTGGGATTGAAACCCGGGTCAACTCATAGGTATTTACAATTTTGTAAAGTGTGGGGAAATCAGATTTCCGGTTAGGTACTTTAAAATGCTTAGGCCCAATGAAAAATTGCCGTTAAAAATTAATTGAGAAGATTGTTTTATTAAATTAAATAATCAAAATGGTATTTTGATGAATTTTTGAAGTATCTAATTCTACTACCTGTAATGTTAATTTTCAACATCAGAAAAAAGCATGAAAAGTATTACATGTAATTAAAATTGAAATAATTGCTAGACAAGGCATTAACTGTGTTTTATGCGCTATACCATTAAATTATATATTTACTCACCTATAGGCCTTGGATTTGATAAAAATAGCAATTATTTATATTGGAAATGTAGTAAAAATCTTGTTTTAAGTTTCTTTTACTACTTTTTGCTCCAATAACCTAATTAAGCTCTAAATATTCGAGTAAATGGTTTTGGGATTTGACAAAAATAAATAAAAAAATCTTTTTTTCTTATAATTATACAATTTTATTATACACTCTATAACAAAAAATGTTGCTATGAATGACCGAAATTGGTGATTGTTGACTTCCATCGATGAATGTTGACAATCACATAGTAGCTTTGGTAAATGTCCGAAATATATACTAGTTGAGTTAAGTGCCAATGCCCAGTATACATTTAACCAGTACTCCGAATATTGATATTTCTCCGAATTTATTCTCATCAGATATTAAAATGTCAAATAAATATAATAATATCAACGAATAAATTAATATCAAATAGGATATAACGAATATATCGAACATTCACCAAAGCGACTATGTGATTGTTGACATTCACCGGTGAAAGTCGACATTCTCTTAATTTCGGTCAACATACATATTATATGCATATATTTATTATACACTGTATAACTATGCATCTGAAATATTCTACACATACCTTCATATCGCATTTTGTTGTGCATTGTTGGACATGTCGTACCCTAAAATAAAACATTTTAAAAGCAGATATAATAACTGTAACATTAGTACTTTGAAAATATTATGAAATAAAATTTAAATTGAACTTTAGATTATTTCGTCGCACCAAAGTTTAAGGTTTAAATTTTTATTTTTAGTTTAATAAAAAATAATTCAAGATAGTTTTCTTTTGACTTCTACGCTATTATAATGAAATGGAATATAGTCTAGAGATGGAACTAATAGAGTAGACAAATGGTACATTTGAGTTATTAATTTCCATAAAATTCCCCGTTAATTCAGGCAGAATGGCAAAATTGTATTACACTTTCATATTTAGTTGCATGATAAAACTCTTGATTGTTAATTAGCAAATTTTTAAAAAATCAAAATAAAACGTTTTTTATGGAAGAAGACTTGAAAGTAGCTTCTTAATTTTTACTTTGAATATGCTACTCAAGATTATTTTTTCTCTTCAAAAAATGGGTAACGGTATCTTTTTTGGGATTACGATCAAAATAAAATAAATAATGACATATTAGGTACCTTACGAACCATTTGAACTTGATAAAACTTTTTAAAAAGTAATTTATTTTCTCGTGAATTTTCAAATAAGAAATAAATGAAAAATTACTAATTTCGTTTATTGTTAAATCTTATTGTTTAATGTGACTTAATTATAAATTGAAGAAGAATTTGTAAGAAATATATTTCATAAAAATCAATAAAAGAAAACTGTACCTCTCTCCTTCGGAAGTCAATATTCGTTCTTACGACCCTTTGATTCAGAGGTAGAGGGGGCCGGAAATTGTTCCCTAAGGGTGCTTTGGGGTTATTTTCGGCTCCTTGCATGAGTTTTCGGAGGATGTAGAGCTGAAAAACAATAAATGGCTAAAGAAAATAACAAAAAGATTCCCAAATCAACTTTGGTGAATAAATTCAGAAAAGTTAAAGGAACTCCGGTTTGGCAGTTTATGGTCCATCCTCAGCACAGGATTAAATCGTGTGCCAATCTATGAAACGAATTTTAAAGGAAGTGAAAACTGAAAATTGAATAATTCTAATCTTGATTGAAATGATATTTTTAATTTATTTAAAAAAATAAGCTTTACTTTTATCGTAACTAAAATATGAAACATAATTCTTTGTTATAAGAATTTTTCAGATGAAGGTATATACTGAGTTCATATTTTATATTTTATTTTATAACTGTAGCTGAGCAGCTCAGACAAATTTGAGTTTACGATAACAAATATTCAACTCCGGAGCCTTGTAATTTGGAACCCAATACGGGAGACAAGGGAGCATTTTGATCAAGTATTGGGAGAAATTTGCCCTCGTGGAAGATTTTTTGATGGAACTAACCTTCATTTGCGTTACATGTAGAGAAAAACCACGGAAACCTCCCACGGTTAGCCCAACGGCCAGGTTACTGCGACCCATGATCTGTTTACCACTGAGGATATTTTACGTCAGCACTAAAGATCGGTGCGAGCCGAGTGCGGAATTCGCATCGACCAGCCGTCGCTGGTATTCGCACCGGGTAATCCTAATTAGGCGGTGAGCGCTCTATCCTCTGAGCCACAACTTTCAGAGTTTATATTTTATTTCATAACCATCGTTGAATAGCTGACCCGATTTTTGGGTTTACGACTACTAATGTTCAACTGCGTAGTCTTGTTATTTTGAACCCAATCCAGAAGACAAGGGAATTCCTGGATCAAGTGTTGGGAGAAATTTGCTTTCGTGGAGGACTGTTTGATGGAACTAACCCGCATTTGCGTCATATGGAGAGGAAGACCACGAGAAACACCCACGGTTAGCCTGACGGCAATGGGACTCTAACTCATGATCCGTCAACCACTGAGGATATTGCACGTCAGCACTGTGGTCGGTGCAAGCCGTATGCGGAATTCGTATCTACCAGCCATCGCTGGGATTCGAACCCGATTCACCTTCTTGGAAGGCGAACGCTCTATCCCCTGAGCCATCATGGCACTGAGTATATATTTCTAGAGGTATACACCGGTGAATGATTGCTATAACGGATCACTTTGTATAGCGAGTGAAAAAGAAATATGGTTTCCGACCTAGAGGGATAAAATAATGCCAGAATGATAGAACATTACAATGATTACTCCTAGAAGTGCTTCCGCAAGTGGTAGTGTAATTACAATAGAGTTAAACAGCACTTAAACACACTAACCTATGAAAATCATGAATTTATATGTGTGTAAAATTTCTTTACATATTAAGGTAGTCAATTCAAGAATTAAAATTTTTTTTAAAAAAAGCATAAGTTGTTTTACACATTTATATGCAAAAATTAAAACTATCGTAAAATACATATAAGTTGGCAAGTAGAGTAGTCTAATAGTCTGCTTTTTTATTTATTTCATTTTTATTCCTTTCTTAAAGGGTCCCGCAGTGGACTGATCGTTAAGACACGGTTCTCAGCAGATCACCGAAGAAAAGCATCACTGGCTACGGTCAGTGTGCGGGTGGGTGACCACTTGGATCAGTCTGCGTAGGGACCGAGGGTGTGCGGTATTGGTCCTCGTTAAACTGTGCTACCGTAAAGTGCTCGACTTCGCGCGCAGGTCGTCGGGCTACCGAAGCGGGGGTGCCATCCCCTCCGCAGAGGATCAAAATTGTGATGGCATGTCTTCGGATCATCCTCCGGGATGTTTCCCAGACCGTCGCCAATAGCCCATTGTGCAGCTCTAGTGCGACGTAAATTAACAACAACAACAACAATTTCTTAAAGGAATAATAAATCTTCCGATAAGGCGTTAAAGGCGTAAATCTGGAAATATAAGTACTAGAATTGTATGGCCAGGAAGCTAACAGTTCAGTGCATTTGCTTCAAATGATGCGACACAATTTCGAATTCGGAAATGGGACACTGCAAATGAGCCCAGAAAATCGGGGTTAAAATGTTCGCTTACCAAAGAATCAAACCCAGTTTCGAAACCGAAAATAAAAATGCTAAAAATATATAGCAGTAAAGCTCTGAGGTCCGAGAATTCGTTTACAAATGAGGCGACCTAAGTCTGAATCTGGAAATAAAGACAACAACAAGCATGTAACCCTAGTCCTTCAATTGCAAACTGTCTCTTTATCGGAATCGACTGTTCTATATCTTTAGAAGGTGATGGAGGTAAGAGATGCTTCTCATCTTTTTTTTTTCGCAGACGGATTAGGGAATCAGAATTTATTTTAAAATTCAAAAGAAAACGAATATAAAATATTACCCTTTTACTAGCAATATGCATTTAAAAACCTATATAGAGTATATTATTCACAGTATATTATTCACAGCATATTAGCCTATTTCCGGGCATAGTCGGAATTCCGGGCATTTGCTTCTCATTGAGTTAAACCGCATTGAAATTCAGGTGATAGCTGGTTGATTTATATTCTGTTTGCAACGAGTTCTTAGGCTTAGCTGTTAACCCAAAGTACCTAACTATCTACAACATTCAAAGGGACTGGGAAATCACAATACAGTAAGCAAATGTTTTCAAAATTCCACGAGCATTTATAACGTGCTTACTCTTTGATATGTAATTGGTTTTTTGGGACAACATACATTTGCTGGCTTGTGTCACCAATCAAAAGGCTTGTAAGCCTCTGTCAAGTAGAAGGACAGATAGAATAAAATAGAGAAAGTAAGTACGGATATACCTCTGGGGTTGCGCCGGGGTACGAGCCCGATACTTTCACTCCACGGAGGGTTTGGCGGACGATACCGCTCAGCGAGCAGGAGTCCACCTTTGATATATAAGTTTTAAATTTATGAAATATGATTCTGGACAAGTAATTTTAAATAATTTAATTAGATCAGCGATGGCTCAGGGGATAGAGCGTTCACCTTCCAATGCTGCAAACCGGGTCCGAATCCCAGTTGATACGAATTCCGCATCCGGCTTGCACCGACCACAGTGCTGACGTGAAGTATCCTCAGTGGTAGACGGATCACGGGTTAGAGTCCCCTTGCCGTCAGGCAATCCGTGGGAGGATCTCGTGGTCTTCCTCTCCATGTAACGCAAATGCGGGTTAGTTCCCGCAAATGCGGGTTAGTTCCATCAAAAAGTCCTCCACGGAGGCAAATTTCCCCCTATACTCGATCCAGGAGTTTCCTTGTCTTCTGGATTGGGTTCAAAATTACAAGGCTACGGAGTTGAACATTAGTTGTCGTAAACCCAAAAAATTGGATCGTCTGCTCAACGACGGTTATAAAATAAAATGATTTAATTAGAGCCGTGGTGGCTCAGGGGATAGAGCATTCGCCTCCCTATGAGGTGAACCAGGTTCGAATCCTTGGTCGATACGAGTTCCGAACCCGGCTCACACCGACCGCAGTGCTGTCGTAAAATATCCTCAGTGGTAGACGGAACAAGGATTAAATGGACAAATTGTCTCTATGATTTTTACTAATGAACATGTGTTTCCCCTATAAGTAATAAATAGTAGTAACAAATATTTTATGCCTAAAGCGAGCTAAAAATTAAAATGTTTTATGACCTGTTTTTATTTTTCCGAGTAAGTGTCGATTCAGAAAATTAAAATTTTCTAATTTGAATAGCAATTTTTTCTAAGTAATGTTTTTGAAAATAAGTAATGCAATACCAATAGTTTTCAGACTTCAAGATTATCTTAGCTCAAGATTAATCTTATTTCTTTTTAGATTTATCAAGATGTTCAAGATTTATCTTATCTCTTATACTTATTTTTTAAAATTTGGATTGAGTATTTTCATTTTCACAATAAAAATCGCTATAAAATAGTTATTGGAAGAATTCAATGCGTATTTTTAATTAAGTCTTTATGATGCGTGATTCTCTTCTGGACTTCTGCAAGCTGTGTAAAAATATAACCTGTTGGTTTACAAAGTATTAGAAAAAAATCCTGCATTACTTGCTCCATATAATGCTTCAGCTTGAGTAAATGCGAGTATTCATTAATAAATCCATAATATTTAGATAAATCTTGCCTGTTGTTTTGTAATGTAAATGGGCCTATTCATCACTATCCACGTGACAGTTTCCTGACATCCGGGCATTGTTAGAGAACCCTCATAAGTCATAAAAAATCGGGTGTCTGGAAGAAGATTATGAATAGATAAATGTTGAAGTTTGGCTTCCTCCCCTGAAAATCGAATAATTATTAGAATTCTAAGTTATTGAGAAATATAATAAAATTAAGAGGTGAAAAGTCAATGTACATAGTTTCTCTGTAATTCATCGTTAACTAATTTAGTAATTTGGGTAAAGAAAAATTTGCAAAAAATAATCTAAATCAAAACATTATGCATTACTGTTTTACCATCACGAGAAAAACTACAGGAAGGAGCTTTACCTCGTAACGAGAAAAAACTGGAAGTGAATTTTTTATTTCTAGCTTACTTCAGGGAGGAATGAATTGCAAGTTGCAACCAGGACTTAATAATCGAAATGAAATATATAATAGACTGTTTCTTGCTTGGAGAAATAAGAGTAGATAACATATATTTAGGAAAAATAACAGCTTCATAGTTTTAGCTTCTTCCTGAATTATGAAAAACTATGCCTTTTAAAGATTTAATTTCAAATATCACACCTGGTAACATGTACGGTTGCTGAGATTTTACAAAAGGGTAATAAACCAACACTTAAATTTGGAAATAATTTCTAAAAATTGAACTACCTAAATATTTAATAGCTAAAATAGTTTACAAAAAAAATCATATGTACTTATTTTTTAATTATTGGTATGTCGTGGTACGTTGAAAATTTCTTTTGAAATTTTAAACTGAAGATTTAATACGTCAAAAAGCTATAATGTTGAAACTTTTCTTCAACGGTCATACAAGTTGACAGCTATGAATGATATATGTTACCTCGGGGGGAGGCGAGGCAGTCTGCCACAAAAACCTCTTCTCTATCTTAACACGTTCACGCCGTGGTGACCCACCGGTGGGTCACGTTAGATTTTCTCATCTTGGCGGCGCACCGGAGTAAAAACTGGTAACAAATAAATTTCATTTTTTAGTTTTTTTCCGAGAACAATAAAAATCCGTAACTACCAATTGTTTTCAACGGATACAATTTTTATATTGAATTGCTTCTTCGCCGTGATAAATTTCCTTACAGTGAATTATTATTGTTGAGNTTTTTTAGTTTTTTTCCGGGAATAATAAAAATCCGTAATTACCAATTGTTTTCAACGGATGCAATTTTTATATTGAATTGCTTCTTCGCCGTGATAAATTTCCTTACAGTGAATTATTACTGTTGAGAATAGATTAGCTCCTCCCGAATATTATCTAATATTGAAATAGTTCTTCTACCAGTATTTTCTCTTTTCCCGTACCAGTATTTTCACTTTTCCCGGAGTGAACGTGTTAAATTTGTTTGTTTAATCCCGCTACTTCATTTTAATTTTCTCTCAGTAAATGTTACTGAGCCCCAACTTTCACCATTCATTTGCGCTTCGGCGATTTATTATTTATTTCCACTCAGATGAAGTAGTTAGAGCTCCTAACGGGGCTGATACTAAGATAACCACCACATATGAGTGAGTGAGTAATGATATATGTTATAACTGTGACAAATGATGGGGATCACAATTACTTTATTCCTTCCAGAATAAACAAGAAATGGAATGCCAATTTTTAGTACTACCAGTTTTATCTCATTTTTAGCTAAAGCTTCCGTCGAAGTTTTTCTCGTGATGTCAAGTCAATACTGATGACTAACGCAATTAGGCCTAAGTGGACTTGAATTGCTTTTCTGTAACATATTTATTAAACTTTTTCATTATAGTTATATATAAAGGGGCTGGTAAGAGAACAAGGTAAGTTCGGATTCATAAATTATTCTTGAGATACAAGTGGAATAAAAAAAAATTGGTCTCTGTAGTCTTTCTCGCTTTTTCCACGGACGAGGATTGAGGTTCCATTTGTGCTAAGTTCTTGCTCTAATTGAAACGCTAACTTGATTGATGTTGTCGTCAGCCATTAAGATAGAGGGGGTGCGATTGTTCTTGTACTCAAGTGGCGCCATCTACGGCCAAGAATTAGACGTCACATCCGTTTATAGGGCGAACCCATTCATATATCCATTCATTCGTCACAGATCGTAATTTTGATCTGATCCAGAGAACGGTCAATCTCCAATTCAGTACTCCCAGAGGTATTGATTTGTTACGAGAACATGAAGAACTTTGTGACCTGACAGGTTTATCGTACACCAGTCACCATTTATTACACGGGGAGTCTTCAACCGACTGGAATCGAATTCCCGTTCTTACAAACGTGAGCCCAGCGCCCTGCAAGCTGGCTATGCCTGCCACTAACTTGATTGATTGTAAATGCAATAGAAAGGCTTCGTGCAAGAACCACTCTAGTTCATGTTTTAATATGGATTTGTATGACTAGGACTAGGGAGATTTTTCCGTTATTATTTTTTTTAAAATTCTTAGATTCTTTCATAAAAAACACAAATGCTTACCCCCATATATTATTCTATGTAACTGACTGGTAAGAATTCTAAGCTCTGGATTTGACAAAGCTCCCACCTATAAAAAATAATTTTAAATTTTAACATTCAGTCACATACTGCATAACTCATGAATTATATATATATATATGTCAGGAAAAATGTTTTACACAATAGAGTAGAGAAATATATTTCCAGACTCGTTCCTTCAACCTTCATTATAGCTTGGCAATAATTGGAATAGAAAGTGCAAATTAATTAATATAGAAAAAGTCAAATTAGTCAAAAGATAAAAGTAGTTGATAGGCTTAATTCTACTATAAGAATCAATCATATAGAAATGTATTAATACAAGAAAATAACTTTAAAATGATTCACTATTTCATTTTGCTTTAAATGATAAATATAACTAATTTACCGTAATTAGTGTATTTAAATGGATTTTTTTTGGGGAAAATTTTAATGAGTTGAAGGTGAAAGCATGCGTTAAGCAATGCTGCTTTATCAAGAGATTTTTTTCTATGGTGGTTCTAGCGTTGATATATTTTTTATGAGGAAATAAAGCAACACTTTCAAAAATAATACTGCTTTAATATATATTCTCAGAAATAGATTTTAAAATTGATTTTCTGAATTATTTCAACAATAGGAAAAAGTTAGAAAAGGACTTTTATGTATATGTATTTCAGCTAAATAAAATAATCAAAAAGAACATGATTGTATGATTGTCATTATTTTGCTAAAAAATATTCTAAATGACATTTCTTACATCAAATAAATGCGATAAAAGTCTAAAAGCATAAAGTACGCTATGAATTTAAGAACAACTTCTCGTATTAATGATTCACGTAATATATGAATTGAAGAGATATAGTGGAAGAATATAGTACATGAATTTAAATTATAAACGTATGAATTGAAGATACTAGTTGAAAAAGGTATCAAATGACATTCTTAAAAAGCACAGAATTAATGTATAAAATGGTTTACTGTATATATAGAACTTAAAATACTTTCAATTAGGTTTTGTAAAATGTGGCAATTTTTAAGAAAAATATATCTTGTAAGCAGCTTATTATTTTTTTTTCTAAAGCTAATTTTTCTAAATTAGCTTAAATGTCATTTGGAACCTTCTTCCACTAATTTACTTTAATTGTAGTTCGACTCACTTGTAGTAGAACAGCTATACCAACAATTCCTTCACTTCTTCGAACAGCAACGGCTTCGGTTATGTTGTTATATAGATCTGAATTGTAACCAAATATCTGCAACTAAAAATTTATTTTGATAAGATTTATTAAATTATAAGTGATTGAGAGATGTCAACTAAAAAATTGCTTCCAGAAAAAAAATCTCCTTTATCAAAAATCGAAATCAAACGGATCACCATCGTAAAGCCTAAAACAAAAATTCATAAAAATTCATTCATAACTGAATGGCGATGAAATGAAGCTCCATTTTTTTATTACATCGCCAAATTGCAGCACTTCAAAATCTACTTCTTTCTAATCAGCCTATATATAATAAGGTTAACCCTTCGTTAATCATGCAATAGGGAAATTAAGAAACGCCACTTGGTTTTAACTTTTTCTCGGTGAAGCCGGACAATTAAAAACTAGAGTTTTCAGAGTTTTTAGTAATGATGCCAATATTTTCTAAGCCTAACCTCGAGGAATCTTTAACAAAGTGGTGTTTCAGATAAACTTTTGAATCATTCATATGTTAAGTTTAAGGTTTTAAAAGTCACCTTAAACTTATGCTGTAACGTAAATTTAAGTTGGCAGCCCTGCATGCAAATGATTCAAAAGTTTACATGAAACGCCACTTTCTTTCAGAGCTCTCACGGTGAGGCTTTTAAATGTTGATAAAATTTTCAACAATTCTGAAAGACTTTTTAATTGTTTACCAAACTTTAACATTTTTTTGAAAAAAGCGTAGTAGAATGCAGCTCTAGAATACTAGAGTCTGAAGCTTTCGATTTAAAAGCTTTTCCTTCATCACTTCTAAAGCAAGGCTGAGAATAAGTCATTAACACGTTCACGCCGGGGTGACCCACCAGTGGGTCACGCTATATTGTCTCATCGGGCGGCTCACCGGAGTAAAAACTGGTAACAAATAAATTTAATTTTTTTAGTTTTTTCCGGGAATAATAAGAATCCATAACTACCGATTGTTTTTAACGGATGCAATTTGTATATTGAATTGCTTCTTCGCCGTGATAAATTTCCTTACCGTGAATTGTTATTGCTGAGAATAGATTAACTCCTCCCGAATATTATCTAATATTGAAATAGTTCTTTTACCAGTATTTTCTCTCTTCCGTCCAGCTTTCAGGCTCAACACCCGGCGTGAACGTGTTAAAAAAGCAGGTAGCTAATTCATTTCATTTATAGCTGGTTTTTGTGAGGAGCAAAAATACTCTTATAAATTTTAGCTACAAACAATTCATCACTACAACAGTCCGTTAAAAAATAGTCTTGCACACATGTTTAAATTGCTCAAAAAAAACCTTGGTACTGGTTTTTGAAAGATTTATAATCGGGCAATTTTCTTTGTATTCAACATGTATGCACGTCATTGCTTGATTTTAATTCTGCACCCTGTGAGGGCTTTCTAAAATTTAATTCCACACTTGAGGCTATTTTTTGAAAGCCCCTTCGTGATATGCAATGATGCTTGTATGAGAATATTATGTAAATTTTTTTCACTGCTGTCAGTTTGCAACTTAGGCTATCTAAAACCAGCTCTCTCTGCGCTTATTTTGAAAATGGTGCAAAACGTTAATATGGAGAAAAGCCACAGTTTTGTGAAAATGAAAAGCATTTGTGGTCGAATTTTTTAATATTTAAAGAACTTACTCCCATGCTGTATTACCTGATCTCATAAAATTTGCAAAAGTTGAAAATACGGTAGTGGTTTTGGAAATTTTTAATTCGATGGAAAAAATGCCCCCAAATTGGCGATTTTTTTAAAAAAAGTTTAATAACTTTTAAAATATTTAAGTTATCTGTCTGTTTTAAAGCCCAGATAATTCCTTATGGCAAGATTATATATGCAATTGAAAATCATCGAATTGCTTCAAGTGCAGGGCACTTATACTATGTTTTTTTTCCTTGGCGACAGAGCTTCGATAAACATTTTAACTGGTTAAATAACTGCGCGTTTTCTTTAAGTCAAAAGTTTCTTAAGGTTATTGTCTAGCAGTTTAGATTCGAGAATAAAAATGGAAAGAAAACATATGTGCTTGCTCTTCTGTTTTTGCAAAAGTTCAAAATACTGAAGTTCAAACATATGGGGTTCTAAATGTTAATATCCATAGTATATAGTTTGCATTTAAACCAAATAATTAAAATAAACATAGGATATTTTTCCGTAATTATTGATTACTTTCCAAACATCTCTGAAACATTACCTTTTTTTTATAAGAACCCAACTTAAAGTCACTAATTTTAATTCTTAACTAACGAATGTATTAAATAACATCGAATTCCGAATTGAAGAAACAGAGAAATAAATAAATAAAAAAAAATCATTTCACTGAAACTGTGCTCGAACTCATCTTGTTCCTCCTCAATTTGTTGATATACTCACATAGCAACAACTTGTTCATGGTGTTACAATACTCACATAGCAATAACTTGCTCATGGTGTTGCAATACTCACATAGCACCAACTTGTTCATGGTGTTGCAATACTCACACAGAAACAACTTGTTCATGGTGTTGCAAAGTATAATTTTTTTTTATATAAAACATTTTTTTAGGAAGCAATTTAACTTGAAACTTTATTCACACTTTTTTTGCTTCTTAGAGTATTTCAGCTAAATAAAATAATCAAAAAGAACATGATTGTATGATTGTCATTATTTTGCTAAAAAATATTCTAAATGACATTTCTTACATCAAATAAATGCGATAAAAGTCTAAAAGCATAAAGTACGCTATGAATTTAAGAACAACTTCTCGTATTAATGATTCACGTAATATATGAATTGAAGAGATATAGTGGAAGAATATAGTACATGAATTTAAATTATAAACGTATGAATTGAAGATACTAGTTGAAAAAGGTATCAAATGACATTCTTAAAAAGCACAGAATTAATGTATAAAATGGTTTACTGTATATATAGAACTTAAAATACTTTCAATTAGGTTTTGTAAAATGTGGCAATTTTTAATAAAAATATATCTTGTAAACAGCTTATTATTTTTTTTTATATAAAGCTAATTTTTCTAAATTAGCTTAAATGTCATTTGGAACCTTCTTCCACTAATTTGCTTTAATTGTAGTTCGACTCACTTGTAGCAGAACAGCTATACCAACAATTCCTTCACTTCTTCGAACAGCAACGGCTTCGGTTATGTTGTTATATAGATCAGAATTGTAACCAAATATCTGCAACTAATAATTTATTTTGATAAGATTTATTAAATTATAAGTGATTGAGAGATGTCAGCTAAAAAATTGCTGTCAGAAAAAAAATCTCCTTTATCAAAAATCGAAATCAAACGGATCACCATCGTAAAGCCTAAAACAAAAATTCATAAAAATTTATTCATAACTGAATGGCGATGAANAATTTTTATACTATATAAACGAAATAAGTTAATTAAATTAAATTTTTGTTGATCACTCAGTTTAATTAGTTGACATATGCATAGATTAGATAGATCGATTAGATAGTGAGATCAGATAGATAGATTAGATTAGATTAGATAGATTAGATAGATTAGATAGATTAGATAGATAGATAAATAGATAGATAGATAGATAGATAGATAGATAGATAGATAGATAGATAGATAGATCGATAGATAGATAGATAGATAGATAGATATTAAATATCTTCTTTCTGATTTTAAAATTAGCTCTGATTTATTTTTAAGGTAGGAACTAACTATAATAAGATATTTCTATAGCCACTAGATGGAAAAGTTTGGTTGTATGACCTTTCATACTGGATCAATTAATTTATTAAGTAAACTTCTAATAAATTTTAGCCATTATAAAATAACTTATATTATTTCATAATGGCTACAATTATAAAATAATATAAGTTTAATTATAAAATAATATATAGTTTTAACTGTCCAGTGTAATAAACAGTTTATTTTATTTATTAGTTTTTTTGTAAATTTGGGAATTTATTTTGTAAATTTATGAACAGTCACCCCCGATGAATGCAGGTAATATGTGTAGACTTTACTGATATGAAAGAATGTATGAATAAAGGATAAAGTCTATACGCGGTTTTCTATGTATGAAGGCTCTGATTTATAAACAGTCACCCTATGAGTGAAGGAAAACCAATAAAATGGCTTATTCTTAATTTAAGTCTGTAATTTAAAATCTACAACGATTAAATATATGAAAGATTTTTTAACAATTTAATTTAATTTTAAATTTATTTTAGGTTTACTTTTTTTTCCTAGTAAGGGTTTTGTTGTTTAAATTTTCCAAATACTTTTATAGTGTTTATTTCATAGCTGGCAGCACTGAAAGGTAGAAAATGTTTCGTATTTTTTCTATCAAACATATTTTTAATAATTATTTTATACGATTTAAGCTATAAAAGGGTTCCTGCCGTCCTTCAAAAGTTTTAGTAGTGGTGGTAAATTGTAGTAAACGCTAGAAAATATTTCTTACTTTAATATACCATTTTATTGTACAATAAATGTACAATAAAAATTAAAAATCACCCAAATAACCCTTATAAATTATAAACTTTTAATTAACCAGTATAATATTATAACCTTGCGCACATCCATTTTCGGGCCAATTCAATGTAACTAAAAAATCAAGCATGTTTCAGTAAGAGCGTTTCATTCAAAAAACAAATCCCTCTATCATTTATTTATGCTTCTATTTTCATATTTTGTAATCTGACAAACTTGTTGCGAAAACATTTTTGAAAGATATCAGTGTAATTTCAATTTAATTCGCTGCTCGCTTTATATATTACAATTTGTATGTTATTCTGTATTTTTCCTGCATTTTATTTCCTATTTTTTGCTGATTATGCTTTATTTTACTTAATTTGATAAGTTTTCTTTTCAATTTTTTTGGGTGCTCCTCACACTATTGTGTTGATATATTTTGTTTTGGCTGTATTAATGCAATATTAGAAAGCCCTCTTTCTGCAGATATAATCATGTGCGCTGATTTCGAGGTTATATCTTTTCATTATTTTGCTTTCCGCTTTTTTAATTTTTTTAATTATTAATAAATTTTTAAATTTTTTTTAAATTTTTTATTTGAAGTATATATATATACATATATATATATATATATAAATACCAAGACACATATATTTACTTTGCCTTCCTTTCAAAATAATTGANATATATGTTAGATGAGCTATATGAACAATATATATAAAGAGAGAGATATATGAACAATATATGCATATGAACAATATATATGTTAGATGAGCTATATGAACAATATATATAAAGAGAGAGATATATGAACAATATATATAAAGAGAGAGATATATGAACAACAATGCAATATATGAACATAACATATTTTTTTTAAATAAGATTAATAAATCGAACTTACTTCCGCTGGGAAAGAATATCCTGCTAGCGTGTGTTCAGATCCTTTATCATCTGTTCTTCCATAATGTAAATGAATTTCTTTAAATCTATATGTATAGGATAACGGTCCTTCAGTTATGTTTACTAAACCATCTGGATCCATAAATTCGGAACGAAAAATTATACTGTGTCCTGTATTCATAATTGTTCCACTTACCTAAGGAATATTTTTAAAAAAAATTTGAGTTAACATTTTTACAGCAATTGAATTCATATAACATCCTAAAGCAACATTTTTACTGATAATGAATATTTGTAATATTCTAAAGCAACATGTTTACTGCAAATGAATATATGTAACATCCTAAAGCAACATTTTTACTGTAAATGAATATATGTAACATCCTAAGGCCACATTTTTAATGAAAATGAATATATGTAACATCTAAAGCAACATTTCTACTGAAAATTAATCTGTGTAACTTCCTAAAGCAGCATTTTTACTGTAAATGAATATATGTAACCTCCTAGCACGACATTTTTACTGCGAATGAATATATGTAATAATGTTTGTAATGAAATATGTAAAAAAAAGAGGGACATATTTATTATACTTTTGAAATATGTGTTTTAATAAGCGGTACATAAGGTAAAATTTTAGACATAAAATATACCAGGTAAAAATGAAACATTTAAAAAATTTAAGTCTAAAATCAATGCTGTTGGTATCTTTGCTATAACATCCAGTACTATTTTTATGAGATATTTTTACACTGATAACTAACATAATTTGAAATAACTGGTCACGGTGGTCAAAACCATTTAAGTATCATTCCTTAGGAATTAAATATTAACCCTTTAATGGGCCCTTTATTTCTAGTAAAGGTAAATTAAAGTATTTTTGGAATTGAAATTGTTTTAAGAACAGTAATTGATATTAAAAAAAAACTCATTTAGTTTATAAAAACGCCATTTTTTTGGTGGTAAATATATTTAACATGACCTATTAGGAACTTACTGACTTTTATTTTTCTTTATTTATAAAATAAATTCCTTAAATGCTACAAAATTCAAAAGGAATTATGTATTTTATAACTTTTATACATTTTTTAAAAGTGACAAATGGTTACCAATTTTATTCAAACTCACTTTAAGAAAGCTGAAGTTATTGGAAAATGGAAACCTAAATTAAAAGTGGTAAAACTTGGTGGTAAGTATACTTACCACGGCCTTCAAAAGGATTGAAACATGAATAAACTTACAGCTAGAAATTGTTTTTTAAAAGCATATAAGTTAAGTTATCAACTTTAATATGAATCAGTTACAATTTTTAAAACAAAATTTTTAAATGCCACGTCTTTGCCCAAATGTTTTGTAAGTCCATACCGAATTTTTTGTCATAATAAAATAGTTTGTTAAGTTCATTAGAAATCTTTTTGTCAGAAATTAACTTTATATGTATTTAATTTGCGACATTTGACAAAAAAAAATTCATACGTTATCCACAAATTTTCTCAAAGTCTAGGAACACTTAAGTTGTTCTTTAGAGGTTAGTGATACGATGTGAAAGTAATACTTTGAGTTGAGAACAATAAAAAGTTCCAAAAGAAACACTCTTTTTAGTTAGAAGAAGAAAAAACATTTGGCAATGCCAGAGATGGGTTTTATACTCTTTTTCTTTGAAAATCGAATGCGCTTCCTTATTTATTTATTTCTTTTCTCTTTCTGCGCATCGGCGCTTCCCTCTTTTAAGCGTAAAATGATTTTCATCTAAAAACAAAACTTTCTTTTCTTTTCAAGTTTACATGCATCTCTTATTTTACAGATACTTTGCACAATTCCTTTTCAAATTTAAAATGATATTCGCTAAAAAGTTAAGCAAAAGAATAGAACTTAAAGAGTTCAATTGAAAGATTCATAACTCACTGTTTCTCTTTCATTATTTAAATCTGAAGTAAATATCAATTGACTTTCTAATTGGTTTCTTTGTAAATATATTTAAATTTAATGTTTAAATGCAAATATGCTGGATATATTTTAGGGAAAATGCATGTTTAACTGTTTTTAATAAGACTCCTTTAAGAAACGGTTCTTTTTTCCAAAAAAAAAAAAAAGTGGTAGCAAAAGTTATTCAATTAATACTATCTTTTTAGCAGGAGCAAGAGGATTCTGTCTGTCATAATTTTTTTTTAAAAAAGTGGTACCTACCAAAAAGCAGTAACTAATGAAACTTGCTCATCTAAGATTTAAGTTTATCACTAAAAAGAAATGCTAAGAAGACTTTTGATTTAAATAAGTACCCTTCATAACGTTAATGTATGGTGGCAGTTACAATTGTGCCATTTTTTAAACTGTTTTGGCCTACGTATCATCACTGATAATCTTTTTATAATAAAAAGTTTGCCGCCATCACTGTTTTTGAAATTTTTCGTGGATTGTGCTCTTTACTCTCATAAATCAAACACTATTTAATTTTATAACAGTCGTTGAACAGTTGACGCAAATTTAGATTTAAGTCAACTAATGTTCAACACTGTAGCCTTGTAATTTTGATCTCAATCCAGAAGACAAGGGAACTCCTATACCGAGAATTGGGAGAAACTAGCTTTCGTGGAGGACTTCTTGATGAAACTAATCTGCATTTGCGTTATATAGAGATAAAAACCACGAAAACCTCCCACGATTAGCCTAACGGCAAAGGGACGCTAACCCATGATCCGTTCACTACTGAGGATATTTTATATCTGCACTGTGGTCTTTGCAAGCTGGATACAAATTCCGTATCGACCAGCCATCTCTGGGATTCGAACTCGGTTTACCTCATCGGAAGGCGGAAGCTCTATCCCCTGATTCATCACGGCTCATCAAACACTATTTGATGAAATAATATGAATTTTTTTGCATTTCTAGAGAAATATTTCATTTTGATTTTTATTCGGCTTTGAATCGCCGACTATGAATGTTCAAATCCGAAGTCTTGTAATTTGGAACCCAGCCCAGAAGTCAAGGGAACTCCTGGATCAAGCATCGAGACAAATTAACCTTCGTGGAGGACTTTTTAAGGGAACTAACGGTCTTTTGCGTTACATGGAGATTAAAACCACGAATGTCTCTCCCGGCTATCCCGATGGTGAGGGGATCCTAGCCCACTAATAATATTTTAAGTTAGAATCACTTAGAAAAAATTTTTAAAAAAAGTCTCATATCATAATGCCATTAATGTTCTTATCATTTTTCGAGTCATTTAGGTCAAAATTAATATTTTTTTTTTTTGGTGCACATAATCCTATTTTGTGAAAACCCTTAGCAGGACAACTATGATTTTTTTGCAGACAGGTACTGTCATGTCCCAGTCTCTTTGATTAAATTTTTAAATAGTTTTGGACTAATTAAATGGTTTGTAATAATGATTTTACAGATTTTATAAGGCAAAGAATCGAAGCAAAATCATTGAGATTTAAATTTTTAAAAATATATGATATTTAGAATTTTCTGTCAGGTAGAATTTGTTAATTTCTATGCACTTAAAGCTGGTTAAAAGCAAACGGGGCTATTTCATTTTTAAAAGTTTACAAATTTAGTTTCGATTCCATTTTGGCTGTCCGACAACAATTTTTTTTATTTTGAATTTAAGTGCTTTTAATTTCTTTTCCTTTAGGCTACATTTAAAAATTTCAGCTCATTTAGCGCTCTAGAAAAACTAAAAGAATAAATAAATGAAAAGAAATAAAGAAATGCTTCTTTTAATTTTAGTTTCCATATTGGTCTTCTAAACATGCGTAATTATAATTTTATTTTAAACTTCTTAACCTTTTCCGGTGCAGTGCAGCTAATCTGACTACACTAATTCAACAGATATTACAGACCACCAGAAATACCGACTTAATTGCTTCAAACTTATAGCCAATTCTTTAAACAACAAAGAGCTGAAGCATAACACCTTGCTTAAAATGTATAGTCTCAGGTAGTACTTGCTAATATCCTGCAAGGCCGGCCTGGTGGCCGAGTGGTTAGCGTGCTTTACAGCGGAGACAGTGGCAGCGGGTTCGAATCCCGCTCTGGGCATGGATGTTTCTTTCTCTCTCTTTGTCTCTATGTCCTTTCTCCTTTGTGTGTGATTGTGTGAGTGTGACCCGCCCTATAAAAGGGTTGTGTGATGTGGGCGACGCTGCTCCACCGCCATGGCTTCGCCACAGGTGCCCACTGGGTAACGAGAAGAGGGCAGCAGTTCTGGCACTTTCTAAGAACAATAGTTCCAAGTGTCCGCCATTTAAAAAAAAAGTATCGTGCCAGTCTAAAATTTTTAATCGAAATTTGCTTCTCCTTGAAAGGTTAAAATAATTATGTTATTTTATTTTAGGATAGGTGAGATGAGCGAGCGAAGTCATTTGGAAATAACTGCATCCTCTAACATAATTTGATAATATGTTAGTCTCCGGATGTATTCCGTAATATAATTTGACTGGATAACTTTAATTTTTCAGTAATTTTTTTAGGTATATATANGGAAATCCATTTAAAACAGCTTTTTCTTTTCAATGAAACGTTAAAAGACAAATTTTGCTTCTTTTTTTACATTTTGTAGTAATTTTCGTGATTCAGATAAGCTAACGCGATTGTAAGGTAATTTTTCTCTGATATATACTATATATAATAGCGGGGTTAAATATTGCTATTTCAAATTTTCGTAAAATTTTAACAATTACAGTGTAATAAAACTTGTTATATCCTAAATAACTTTTTTTATGTGTTTCGTTTAGGTATTTATATATTAACAAAGAAATTTAGCACAAAACCTTGATATCAAATAATTTTTTAAAGATTTTGTGATTCTTTAAAGAAAAATGCTATTTTTTTAAAATGGTTCTTAAGTTACTCGTTAAAATGTGTTATGTTGGATAAACACATGGCTGCTACAACCTGGACAAAAATGTGGTAATTGTCTTTTTCAAATCTACTGAAAAATATTTACATTTTACTTTTACTTATGCGTTACAAACCATACATCATACCACTTTTTTTTTAATTTCATTCTATACCCACATATATTCAGAAGGATAAAGTAAATTTTGTGCCCGGTAAGCTAAAGTGATAAGCATCTTAAATGAAGCACAAATAAAGTACAAGAATGGACATACTATTACTTCGGTTCTTTAAGCAAGAGCCTTGTTCAGTATCTAAACACCAAATGGCATAAGAAAAGTAAGGTGATAAACACCTGCACAGTGCTTTAACCATTCAGGACAGAGGAGCAGGTTTGAGCAAGAAAATAAAAGAAAGGTCGATGAGAAAGTTTGGCTGAAACTCCAGGTAGTTAAAAAATTAAAATTAGAATAGATTTCCAAACATTGGGAAAGGGAGGAATACTAGATAAATCATTAACTAATTTCTTTTCAAACTATGGATTGATTCCCAGAAATCAAGTTTGGTGAATGAAGAGTAGTATTGTATAATTTTAGCAGAAGAAAACCCAAACCTGCAATTAAATTTCCAACTATGTAAGATGATAGAAGATCGTTTAATATCTTTCATGTTCTTTAAGTAAGTCGAAGTTCTAAGTTTGTCCAATATAATGACCAAATTTCATATTTCCATTTTTAAATATTGAAAATTTCTATTTTTAAACTTGTTATATTAATCACGTGTGGTTCTTTCAGCAATAGCACTCTTTCTTTTCACCGAGCAAATATTACTAGCAGCTTTTCGGCCTTAGAAACGCATATAATGAAAATGCTTATTTGTTTCAACCTGACATTCCAATGCTCCATTTTAATGATCGAAAAATTAATATGACACGACCAAAAAATACATAGATTTCGATGGAACAAAACGTTATTTTTCAAATGATCTAAAACACCATTCCAAAATCATTTAACGACATGCACAATGTTAAAATTTAAAAAACCGAAGGAAACTTATTTGCCATCCTAATAACACCAACTAATTTCCTTTTCACTGATTTAAAATAAAGAGATAGATTTTCTTTCATAGTCAAACAAAACAACCATTTCAAATATGTTAGCATAATTCGCCATTTACTTAATAAAACAACAAAACACTGACGAAAAACTCGCAGTAGAAACTCCCAAAATACGTTTTGTCTAACAAAAATTGTCATAAAATATTCATTTGCAGAATAAAATGCTGTATTTTCATAATATCTCTAAATTAAAGATAGTCAACCCTTAATAGTTTTCCGTGATTACAAGTGAACTACTGCAAATAAATGGTGGTAGTTTTATGCAAGTTGTCCCTCCCAACCTTTAGACAATCGGGGTCTAATTGACGGGCGGACAAAATTGAGGGCGTCCATAGTTATAGAGTCACGTCATTTTTTCTTAATAATATCCATTGCATGTGTTATTGAGTCTACTCACGTATAGATATTTTACACCTATCTCTACGAAAACCGGAAATTTAATGGGACTCAAGTGGCAGGTTCGAACCTTTTTATACATCAATACCAGGAAATCCATTTAAAACAGCTTTTTCTTTTCAATGAAACGTTAAAAGACAAATTTTGCTTCTTTTTTTACATTTTGTAGTAATTTTCGTGATTCTGATAAGCTAACGCGATTGTAAGGTAATTTTTCTCTGTAGCCTTACATTATTCATGCAAAAGTTTTTTTTAAAAAAAATGAAAATGGAATTGTTATTAATAGCCCTACCCTCCAGCATTTGATGTTTTCGTGAAATATATTTTGAATAGTATTGAACTATATTATAAGTTTTTAATACGCATAGAATTCTTATAAAACTTCTGTCAAGCACGACAATTAGTGTTTTACTATACAGGGTGTTTATAAAGTCCCGGACCCATTTTGATGTTTAAAAACTCATTGAATAATGAAGATAGATTAAAATTAATAACATAAATGGTTAGATAGACTCAAAAAATTTCATGACCCTTGTCAATGAACTTCCACGTGTACCCCCTTCGTCGCACGGAGAATATCAAGTCGAAAGTCAATTTTACGCCAGGTAGCGGCAAGCATGTCGGCATACACAGAGGCTATTGCGGTTGTAATTCTGGCTTTTAGGTCATCAATGTTCGACACGATCCTCCTGTCCTTTATAAATCCCCAAAGAAAAAAGTCCAGCGGCGTTATATCAGGTGATCTGGGTGGCTAAGAAATTGGACCTCCTCGCCCAATCCATCTTCCTGGAAAATGGTCATTCAAGGAACTACAAACGATGATACCCACATATCCCTTCGTATTCGATGATACCTTCGTATTTCCACAACTAGAAGAGCTTCAGCCACATGTCGTTTTGCAACAAGAGGGTGCACCACTTCCTTGGGGTATCATCATTCGTAGTTCTTTGAATGACCATTTTCCAGGAAGATGGACTGGGCGAGGAGGTCCAATTCCTTGGCCACCCAGATTACCTGGTATAACGCCGCTGGACTTTTTTCTTTGGGGATTTATAAAGGACAGGAGGATCGTGTCGAACATTGATGACCTAAAAGCCAGAATTACATCCGCAATAGCCTCTGTGGATGCCGACATGCTTGTCGCTACCTGGCGTGAAATTGACTATCGACTTGATATTCTCCGTGCGACGAAGGGGGCACACGTGGAAGTTCATTGACAAGGGTCATGAAACTTTTTGAGTCTATTTAACCCTTTATGTTATTAATTTTTATCTATCTTTATTATTTTATGAGTTAGTAACATCAAAATTGTTACGGGACTTTATAAACACCCTGTATTTACTTAAATTATTTTTATGTAATAGTAGAAAATATTCCTATAATTCTAATGCGTGAGATACATTACCTTTGATACAGTTACTTTTAATGCATAACCTATTCTACCACTTCCTGCGTTACATTACCCGTTACATTACCTATGATGATGATACATTACCTCATTTTTGCACATTGTTTGACAAAAAGATCGGATTTTTGTAACATCTTGAGAAACCTACTTACCAATATATTAGCCATGCATTACCTTTGATTCCACTACTTCTGATACATTACCTATGATAATGATACATTCCTTTTGATGCCCCTACTTCTGATACATTACTTATGATAAGGATACATTACCTTTGATACCACTACTTCCTATACATTACCTATGATAATGATAGATTGCCATAGTGTGATACAACTCGAACAAATAGCTTTCAAAACTAAAGAAATTTAGTACTAGTATTTGGAAGGTAAACATAACGTTGATTTTTGTACATTGCTTGACAAAAAGATGAAATTTTCGTTGCATTTTGAAAAAACTACTTATCCATCAATAAACGGGTTGCATTTCTATTCAATAACATTCACAAAATTCTTACATTTTGCAGTAATTTTGTGATTTATATAAATCATGAAGACTGATCATAAAGTCTCGGTTCCCTGTAGAACATCGAAGTCAAGCATCACTGGCTGCGGTCAGTAAGCGGGTGATTGACCACTTTGATCACCCAGCGTAGGGACCGAGAGTACGTGGTATCGTTCCTCGTTAAACTGTTCTGCCGTAAAGGGCTCGACTTCACGCTCAGATCGTCGAATTACCAAAGTAGGGGAGCCATCCTCCCTGTAGAGGATCAAAATTGCGATGGCATGTGTTCGAATAATCCTCAGGGATGTTTCCCACACCGTCGCCAATAGCACATTGTGCAGATCTAATACGACGTAAATAAAGTATCTACATACCTACCTTTTCGAAGATAAATTTGAAATATAATTGTTTCTCCACAGTCACAGATATTTTGGTAATAATATTATAAACAAGGACACAAAATATTTGCCAAAACAGGTTCTGCGGAATGTCTTTAATAAAAAAAATAAGTATTATTCAATTAATTCTTAATTGAATCCAATTACGCCATAATTACATTCTATCACGCTTTAATTTTCCATGAAAGCTCACTAAATAGTTACATTTAAGAAATAAATCAGATTCATAAAATTGGCTTTTTCCTCGCACACTGTACCTAAGGCGAAACAGCAATAGCAAGATTTAGCACGTTTATGAACCAAGCATCTCCGGCTATGTGGCCGAGCAGTCAGCGTGACTGACTACGAAGCCAGTGGTTGCGACTTCGAATCCCACGCTGGGCATGGATGTTTCTCTTTGTGTGTTGCGTGAATGTATAGCACTCTATGGTCTGTTTTTTGTGGCAGTGTGGCATGGATAACGTTGCTCGCCTCCATGTTTTAATTTTACAAATACCTACAGGGTAACTAATATACAATCCAGCGGCTTTTAACAACTTGCTTAGATTTTAGAGATTTTTCTCTTGGTTGCAGTTGGTTACAATTATAATGCAAGTGTTTATTTCTATTGAAATTTATTAGTGAAATAAAAACAAAGTCAAAAATCAATTTATTTTTTCTTTAAGAAAAGGCTAAACCAAAGAGTCGTTCAAAAATCGCCACCAGGCAATGTTTAATTAGCAACACTTTCGACAGCTTCCGAAGCAAAGAGAAGTTTAGTGTCTATCGTTAGAGGAAAAAAAATCAAGCACCCCGTTCATTCACGTGCTTCACAGGACAATTACTAAGAAATGGTCTCAGTTTTCTAAGGAGCTTATGAAGTACATAATACATATGTGGGGTGCAAATTCTCTCTAAAGAATATGTACTGTTGAAATTTTAGGAAAATTTCGTTTTTAAAATTTTTTATCTCCTGTTTCAAAAACTCGTTTTCGCTACTGAATAAAACTTATTTTCTCTAAATGACAATAAAGATTAGTTTACATTATTGTAAATTTTTAGAGTGTTTACTTTACGTATGATTTAGAGCTAAAGTGAATGATCAATAAAATTATTAATATTTTACAAATTTTATGTCATAAATTAGAAAATCAAGCAGCACATCCTTTGTCTATGCGGAATATAAACGATGCAATAGCTTTTTCCGCTTAGTAACGAACACTTGAAAGAAAGCAAAAAAAATAATAATAATAATAATAAATAAAAAAAACATAAATAGATCTAATGATAAATCTTACCCTGTATTTATCAACTTTCAAACTCTTAAGATGAGGATCATATAAAAGAACTGCTGGATCAAGATCTATAGGTGACTGACGACGACCTTTCGTACAAAATCCCCATTCTGGATTCAGCAAACCCCAAAAATCAGGACCTGTTAATTGAAAGAAAAATTATCTTCGTAATTGCTTAACTTTTTGATGCAGAATTTAACATTATTAATTAAATAATGCGTTTAATTTCATATAATTATTTGAAATTAAACACCTTTTTCATACTCTTTTCATTTTTTTTAATTAGTTTTGTCAGAAATAAGTGAAAAATACTATATTCAGGCCTGGCAACTACTACATTTTTTGCAAAATATTTCATAGGGTAGACATTTAAAAACCAAAACTTTCGGAATTTTTGGCAATATGACCAATTTTTCAAAAGCTCAAAATGAAAGAGATGGATAAAAATAGCTTTACATATGAACTTTCAAATCATTTATGTATAGTGATCAGGAAAATAAGTTTAAATGAACAAAAAATAATACATTTAAACATACACATAGCTATCAATAGAATAAACTTTAACAAAAAGCGTAGAAGTTGGCAGCCCTGTATATTTAGCATTTTAACAATTTATGGTCATTAAATACAGCATAAAAATAGAGTCTCTATTTTTATATTTTATTTTCCAAACACGGCTCACTTCCAAACAACAATTTTTCAAATTTGCATTTATTTGCAGCTACTAAGATCTAAAAGAAGCAGTTATTCATCACTGAAATTTCTTTAATTTATAAAATCAATTATTGATTAATTTTTGAATACGAATAAAAAAAATTGTTCAAACTACTTTTCTTTGGGGATATTATATTTTAGTGCAAATATCATTTTAACAATTTATGGTCATGAAGTGCAATATGAAAAACCGGTCTCTATTTTTATGTTTATCTTCAAATAAATTTTTATTGTTAATTGATTAATTTTTGAATATGCATAAAAAAAAAGGTTCAAACTACTTTTTTTCTGATTTTTATATTTTAGTACAAGTATAATTCCGATAAACTAAGGGAGCTTTTTAGTAACCATTAGACTGTTTTTCATATATAAAAAATACCGAAGTATAGTCTTGCATGCACAGTAGAACCTCGATTATCCGAGCTAATTGGGACCTCTTGTACCTCGGATATCGAAAATCTCGGTTAATAGATTTTCGAATAAAAACTCGTCTTGATCACAAATTTAACATCTTTTGAAATAAAAAACAACAGAATGTTTTTCAAATTATATAAATAAACTTATGTAAAATTATGTTTCACAACTCAACAAATTTAAAAAGGAATAGTAGTAATCCTTTATATAAATCTGTAACAATGGTAACAAATGTAATAAAATGATATCATATGAAGAGCTTAGTAGATGGAGCTGGTAAGTGTTATTTTCAGCTGCTATTAGATCCGATAGTCCTGATCCTGATGATAATCCTGAAACTGAGCACCTGAAACAGCCTGCTTTAAAAAATATCTGTAGTTATCCTTGTAGTGATTCTTTGAGAAACTCTACAACAGTGGTAACAAATGTATTAGAATATTATCATAAGAAGAGCTTAGATAGGATGGAGCTGGTAAGTGTAATTTTCAGCTGCTATTAGATCTGATAGTCCTGATCCTGATGATAATCCTGAAACTGAGCACCTGGGACAGCCTGCTTTAAAAAAAATCATTAATTATCCTTGTTGTGATTCCTTAACAAAATCTACAACCGTGGTAACAAATGCATTAGAATATTATCATATGAAGAGCTTAGTGGATGGAACTGGTAAGTGTTATTTTCAGTGCAATTTTAAATAAGGGAAAATAACATCTTAAATGTTTAATGTAACATAATTGTTTTCGCTATCCCTTTATTTTTAACATAACTAATCCACAATAGTTTTGAATAAGGTTGCGTGATTTTGATTTCTAATTAGGTAGTGCTGCTTAATATAAGGCAAAGAATTAAAAGCCGCACCTTCTGATAAATTTTTATTTTTATAATCATCATTGATCAGCCGAACCGACTTTGAGTTTACGACTACCAGTGCTCCACCCCGCAGCCTAGTAACTTTGAACCCAATCCATAAGGCAAGGAAACCCCTGGAACAAGTATTGGGAGAAATGTGCTTTTGTGGAGGACTTTTATATGGAACTACTCGCATTTACGTTTACATGGAGAGGAAAACCACAAAAACCTTCCATGGTTAGCCATACGGCAAGGGGACTCTAAACCATGATTCATCTTCCACTGAGGATATCTTGCGCCAGCACTGAAGTCGGCGCGAGCCGGAATGGAATGCGTATCTCCCAGTCATCGCTGGGCTTCGAATCCAGACCACCTCATTGGGAGGCGAGTGCTGTATCTCTGAGCAACCGCAACTCTAATAAAAAAATTTTCATAATATAGTTGGAAAATTAGTTTTTTCTTCTTACTTTGATTGTTGCCTCTCTGAAAATGTCGCATATCCGCTTCAATCATTCCGCGATTTAAGATTGTAATTTTCAATACTATTTTTAAAAACTATTTTCCGTGGTAACCCTATTTAAATTTGTAAAAAAAATTTACATGCTATCTTTGGAATCTTATGATTTATAAATAAATTTATTTGCCTCATCAAAATTGTTACACACCTGGTAAAAATTAAAAGCTTTCCTCGATTTTGTTATTAAGAAGTTGAAAACTTTTTATCATTAGTTTTCGCTTTAGAATTAAAGTTTTAAATCCACAGATTTTGGATCTAAATGTATTTACAGTGAGTTAATAAAATATTAAGACAGTTGAGAATGTATTTTAATTTGTAATTTTTTTCTATTAATAGTACTAATACTTTTTAAAATGTTTTCAGGTGGCTAACGAACACAGTCAATTATTTCTTAACAAACACTAAAAATATTGCGAGCTAAAATGTCTTATTTTCATTTAAGACATTTTTCTCATAATACCATGAGTAAACTTAATTAGGAAAACTGAACTTTTTTTAGAAAATCACAGTGATATTCCCTCTTAAGGTGCTCTACATATTTCCAAATTAATAAATGTGATATTCTATGATATGAATCTTAATACATAACATGTAAAAGGGGAGGAGAATTTTTTGATGAGAATATTGCGTGTGAAACTCAACAATCAATACACATTTTTTTTTCTTTTGTTTTTTCTCACGTCTTTAAATTGTTACTCTTTTCTTTGATCTAATCGATTGAAGCAATTCGATTTTTTATACACTTTCAAAAACTTGATTTAAAGTTGGAGCAAGATTCTTTCCCGAAAAAAAGTTTGAAAAGAAATAGAGAAGTGAAAGTTTTATCACTTGAAAATAAAATTCCTCGATGAAATTGAGCATAGTTAGTCCTGTTTATGTTTTATCGATGAACATTTAATTTTGGACAAAGCTCAAAATACACGCTTAAGAAATTGACATAACATGAAATGTGTGTTTAAAAAATTTATTTAGACCAAAATCGAGTATAAGAAAATGAACTCAGCTTGATATGCTTGTTTAAATTATAGATAAAGCTCTAAATGCGTGTTGGAGAAAAGTTTAATTTTTCTTTTGTTTTTTCTTAAGTCCTTAAACTGTAACTTTTTTTCTGATTTAATCAATTGAAGCAATTCTAATTTATAAACACTTTCAAGAACTTGTTTTAAAGTTGGAGCAAATAACTTTTTCAAAAAAAAGTTTGAAATGAAAAAGAGAAGAGTAACTTTTACGATTTGAAAATAAAAATGATTGCAGAAACTAATCATAATTTTCTATTTATGTGTTGTCGGTGAACTCTTTATTTTGGACTAAGCTTAAAAAGCGCATTTGAAAGTTAACATAGCCGAAATCGGCGCTTGAAATATTGCTCAAAAAGCGAGTTTAAAAAAATTAACACAGCTTGATATGATAGTAACTTAGAAAATTTGAAAATAAAAATTATTGTCGAAAGTAATCAGAATTATTTTCTGTTTATGTATTGTCGATGAACTCTTTATTTTGGACTAGGCTTAAAAGGCACATTTGAAAGTTAACATAACCAAAATAGGCGTTTAAAAAACTTTTCAAAAATATCTCAAAAATCGAGTTTAAGAAAATAAACATAGCCTAATAATATTCTTTAGAAAATGAATATAACTTAAAATCTGGGTTTGAGAAACATTAAGATGCATTTTTGTTACTTCACACATCTTCAAACTGTTACTCTTTTTCTTGCATATAATTGAAACTCTTTCCAACAATATCGTATCCCATCGTGAAAAATTAATATATGAAGCTAACATATAAGGACTTCGCTGGCCATATAATAAAATTATATGATATCTTTGGAATCTTATGATTTATAAATAAATTTGTTTGCCTCATCAATAAACTGAGGGTTTGCGAACATAGAAAAAAAATAAAAATACAAAATAATGAATGAGAAAATGAATAAGAAACAATAACTAAAATCCTTTTAACCACTCTCAACACATGTAGTGGGAATTGTATAAAACCGGGCCTCGGCATTTTTAAGTTGACTACTGATTGCCATTTATCAGAAATAACTTAAAACTAGTTAGATGTAATCTCCATGTTACTTAAAGAAGAAAGAATGGTTAGGTAAATTATTTATTGGTCAATGTCAATGGTTTGAAAAACTTATTTCAATTTAAGTGAGCCATTTTTAATGGCTTGAAGATTTAGAAAAGTTCAACATCTGATTATGTCTTATTTTACCTATTATTATGAATTGTTTGAACAATATTTAAATAAAATAAGTCTTTTTTTTATGCTAAATGACATTGTTGAACAAAACCAGAATTCACCAGTACTCTAGGTCAAAATCCAAGGAGTATTGAATGCAAAGTATCAACAGTACAGGAGGGCATTTGAAGTAAGCCTATATTCTTAGCCTGTAGCATCGCAAAAGAACATAATCAAAATTTTATGCGTAATTTCTGTTCTTAAATCTAATCAATTAACTCAATTTACGTTAAGTTACAAATATATTCCTTGAGTAGCGGTGGCTCAGGGAATAGTTATTGTTGTAGTTTATTTACGTCGCACTAGACCTGCACAATGGGCTATTCGTGACGGTCTGGGAAACATCCCTGAGGATGATCCGAAGGCATGCCATCACAATTTTGATCCTCTGCAGAGGGGATG